ACAATTGCCCCGGCCCCCATTCCTTACTTCCTTTTCCCTAAGTTCAATTACAACTCTATTCCTTCTCCTTCAAACAGAATTTGTGTGTAAATTGCTAAATTATAGAATCGTTATTAAATCGTGTTAACTATATTTAACATAGTTAACTATAGTTAAGCTAGCGTGTTTCCCTCCCCCCCTCTGCCATATTTTACTGACTTTTTCCTATATATATTGTTACATAAGTATTATAAGAGTACACTGAAAAGCCTAGCATAGTTATAAATGACTTTTTTCTTTTAATTTTACCTTGTTCAACGAGGCAGAGTTTGTGACCGTAGAATTTGAGTGTCCGTTTGTGCCTCGTTTCTCAAGTTTCTTCGTCGCTTCGGTTTTTGTGAAAACGTGTCAATTGTTCCGAGAGATATTTGCCAAAATCCACTAGAAACTCAACACCCTCATCTAACAAGGTTTAATGGATTTCGCGGATTTTAACTTTTTAAATTTGGGTGTTTTCGCTTTTATTCTTCTTCTTCTTCTTCTTCTTCTTCTTATGTTTCCGAGATCAATTTTATGTTTTTTTTGACAATCACTTTTTCCTCTCAATCTGTTTTTAAATATTATCTTTGAATAAATTATAATTTTTAAACTTTGAGAGCAATAATCTCATTCAAAACTAAGGTATAGCTACAAGAAAAATGTATCCATAAGTAATGGAGTCTTTGCAACAAACTCTTATTTTCTAATCTCTTTATCTTTGCAACCCAATTCCGTAGACATTAGATATTTCCAACTATAAAATTTGTTTTGTCAAAGGTTTGTCTAGTTCACTCAAGTTTACTCTAGTTTACTCAAGTTTACTCTAGTTTACTCTAGTTTACTCAAGTTTACTCAAGTTTACTCAAGTTTACTCAAGTTTACTCAAGTTTACTCAAGTTTACTCTAGTTTACTCCAGTAGACATTAGATATTTCAAGCTATAAAATCTGTTTTTTCAAAGGTTTACACCGCCAGGTTGCAAAGATATAGGTATTAGATCATTTGAGTTTGTGGCAAAGACTCAGTTCGATTGGTTTCCTTACATACAGGGTGTCCTAATAAACTTGAGAATTGAGATACGAATTTAAAATCTTTTTTGATTTCTAATAATTAATAAATAACAAAAGGGTGTATTGGGACACCCTCTATAACCAAAGTGCCGGGGGAGGGAGGGGGGTTGCTTTGAAAGGGGTCATTTCTTAGAAAGGAAGGGAAACTTTACATTTCTAGTCATTGAAGCGATCTTTTATGATCTTTAATAGTTTTGAAAACACGTTGTTGAAAGCAGCTTAAACTATTTCATTGAGAGAATATAATAAATTCTGCAGTTTTTTTATGTACTGTACTGTAATATGCTGTTTACTTTTAGGTAATATTCCTGAGAGAAACACTGCTGATTGGATAAGTGAGTAAATGATTGAGTGAGTGAGTGAGGCTACGTGTCTAACCCTGCCTGCAGGGAGAATTAAGCCTGACTGAGTGACAAGCTACTCGCCGCACCGGTCATACTCATTCTAGCTCTCTACCTACCTTACTATCCTTCTAGCTAGCTCTCTACCTACCTAACTATCATTCTAGCTAGCTCTCTATCTACCTAACTATCCTTCTAGCTCTCTACATACCTAACTATCCTTCTACCTCACTGCCTACCTAACTACCCTTCTAACGCTCTACCTATCTAACTATCCTTCTAGCTCCTTACCTAACCATCCTTCTAGCTCTCTACCTAACTATCCTTCTAGCTCTTTACCTAAGTATTCTTCTAGCAGTATGATTGTCAAAAATAGTTTTTAAAAAAAAGCTTAAGTTCAATTAGCTAAACAGCTAGATTGACGCGTAAGCAGTGAATTAAAAAACGAGCAGTAAATGTTTTCTTATCTGCTTGAAAGTTAAAGCCTAGAGAATCCTGAAGCTTTAGTTACCAGAATAATGGGAGGAATTTATTGAAGGAGAATTCAAACTATTTAAACAGTAGCTTGCCTCTAGCTTCAAACAAGGCATACAATTTAGAGTTTTTAAAGAGTTTTTATGGATAAAAAGGTTAGGACGCAAAGTTAGTTTAGTTGGTAGGGTGCACAATTGGTTTAGCTGGTAGGACGCACAATAAGATTTAGCTTTAATGATACACAATTGCTTGAGATGGAAGGACGCACAATTAGTTATGCTGGTAGGACGCTCAATTAGTTTAGCTGATAGGACGCGCAGTTGGTTTAGCTGATAGTGCACACATTTAGTTTAGCTGGAAGGACGCACAACTAGTTTAGCTGGTAAGACGCACCTTTAGTTTAGCTGGAAGGACGCACAATTAGTTTAGATGGCAGGACGCACAGTTAGTTTAGCTAGTAAGATGCACAATTAGTTTAGCTGGTAGGACGCACATCTAGTTTAACTGGTAGGATGCACAACTAGTTTAGCTGGTAGAACGCGCAGTTGGTTATGCTGGTAGGCCACACAATTAGTTATGCTGGTAGGACGCTCAATTAGTTTAGCTGATAGGACGCGCAGTTGGTTTAGCTGGTAAGACGCACCTTTAGTTTAGCTGGTAGGACGCACAATTGGTTTAGCTGGTAAGACGCACATTTAGTTTAGCTGGTATGACGCACAATTAGTTTAGCTGGTAGGACGCACATCTAGTTTAACTGGTAGGACGCACAATTGGTTTACCTGGTAGGACGCACAATTGGTTTACCTGGTAGAGGGACGAAGAAACAAAGTTAACTTAAAATGTTTGAAGATTAGATAATTAGGACGCACAATTAGTTTTTCTAGAGACACCGAGAGTTCTTAAAGAAAAATAAATAAGAAAATTATGTGAACAAATTTTCCATTTATATTTAGAGTTTAAAGGGAACAACAAAGCTAATATAAGCATCAGCCCTTGAGAGAAAAAAAGTTTGCTGACACCGTAAAGAATGTTAAAATGCAACACAACAATTATTTTTCATTTTTTCAACTCCAATAATGCATTATGCAATCCCGGCGCAAGAGAGAGTTTTAATGTTTGTAGGAGTAGNTTATGTTTATGTTTATGTTTATGTTTATGTTTATGTTTATGTTTATGTTTATGTTTATGTTTATGTTTATGTTTATGTTTATGTTTATGTTTATGTTTATGTTTATGTTTATGTTTATGTTTATGTTTATGTTTATGTTTATGTTTATGTTTATGTTTATGTTTATGTTTATGTTTATGTTTATGTTTATGTTTATGTTTATGTTTATGTTTATGTTTATGTTTATGTTTATGTTTATGTTTATGTTTATGTTTATGTTTATGTTTATGTTTATGTTTATGTTTTAAGTTTTATGTTTTATGTTTTATGTTTTATGTTTATGTTCATTTTTAAGAATGTCCTTGTGTTAAAAAACTGCATCATCTTTTTTTTTAAACTAGGCGTGTCAGAGCTTATAATGATAGGGTCATTTCGGGTTACATGGGGTCAATTATCTACCTTCTAATTTTGTGGACAACTTCGAGAAATAAATTGCATTTAAAAATAATGCAATCCGCGAAAAAGATCAGCTAAAAACGCCTAAAACTTAATATTTAAAATATAAAAATTGTATTTTTAGAATTTCAAAAAAGAGATTTCTTCGTTCAGCCAGTTTCTAAATTTGAACTATTGTACCTGTTCGCTTACTTTTTGAACATATTTCATTGTAATTTAGTAGTCAACGTGCTACAATAGGAAATACAACAACATATTTCGTTATAATATAGTAATCACCGTGCTACAATAGGAAATATAACAACATATTTCATTATAATATAGAAGTCAACGTGCTACAATAGGAAATACAACAACATATTTCATTATAATTTAGAAGTCAACGTGCTACAATAGGAAATACAACATCATATTTCATTATAACATAGTAGTCAACGTGCTACAATAGGAAATACAACAACACATTTCATTATTATATTGAAGTCAACGTGCTACAATAGGAAATACAACAACATATTTCATTACAATATTGTAATCAACGTGCTACAATAAGAAATACAACAACATATTTCATTATAATATAGTAATCAACGAGCTACAATAGGAAATACAACAACATATTTCATTATAATATTGTAATCAACGTGCTACAATAGGAAATACAACAACATATTTCATTATAATATAGTAATCAACGTGCTACAATAGGAAATACAACTGTATACATGATCTCCTTAACCTCTCCTTCCTTAGATATAAGGTAAACATGATCTCCTTGACCTCTCCTTCCTTGGATATAAGGTATACATGATCTCTTTAACCTCTCCTTCCTTGGATATAAGGTATACATGATCTTCTTTACCTCTCCTTCCTTGGATATAAGGTATACATGATCTCTTTAACCTCTCCTTCCTTGGATAAAAGGTATACATGATCTCCTTAACCTCTCCTTCCTTAGATATAAGGTATACATGATCTCTTTAACCTCTCCTTGTAAGGTATACATGATCTCTTTAACCTCTCCTTCCTTGGATATAAGGTATACATGATCTCTTTAACCTCTCCGTCCTTGGATATAAGGTATACATGATCTCTTTAACCTCTCCGTCCTTGGATATAAGGTATACATGATCTCCTTAACCTCTCCTTCCTTAGATATAAGGTATACATGATCTCTTTAACCTCTCCTTCCTTGGATATAAGGTATACATGATCTCCTTCACCTCTCCGTCCTTGGATATAAAGTATACATGATGTCCTTGACCTCTCCTTCCTTAGATATAAGGTATACATGATCTCTTTAACCTTTCCTTCCTTAGATTTAAGGTATACATGATCTCCTTCACCTCTCCGTCCTTTTGATATAAAGTATACATGATCTCCTTCACCTCTCCGTCCTTGGATATAAGGTATACATGATCTCCTTCACCTCTCCTTCCTTGGATATAAGGTATACATGATCTCTATAACCTCTCCTTCCTTGGATATAAGGTATACATGATCTCCTTGACCTCTCCTTCCTTAGATATAAGGTATACATGATCTCCTTCACCTCTCCTTCCTTAGATATAAGGTAAACATGATCTCTTTAACCTCTCCTTCCTTGGATATAAGGTATACATGATCTCCTTGACTTCTCCGTCCTTGGATATTAGGTATACATACATATACTCTTCTTAACCTCTCCATCCTTAGATATAAGGTATACATGATCACATGATCTCCTTAACCTCTCCTTCCTTGGATATAAGGTATACATGATCTCCTTAACCTCTCCTTCCTTGGATATAAGGTATACATGATCTCTTTAACCTCTCCTTCCTTGGATATAAGGTATACATGATCTCCTTAACCTCTCCTTACTTGGATAAAAGGTATACATGATCTCCTTCAACTCTCCTTCCTTGGATATAAGGTATACATGATCTCCTTCACCTCTCCTTCCTTAGATATAAGGTATACATGATCTCCTTAACCTCTCTGTCCTTGGATATAAGGTATACATGATCTCCTTGACCTCTCCTTCCTTAGATATAAGGTATGCATGATCGCTTTAACCTCTCCTTCTTTGGATATAATGTTTGCATGCTCTCCTTCAGCTCTCCTTCCTTAGATATAAGGTATACGTGATCTCCTTGACCTCTCCTAACTTGGATATAAGGTATACATGATCTCTTTAACCTCTCCTTCCTTGGATATAAGGTTTGCATGATCTCCTTCAGCTCTCCTTCCTTAGATATAAGGTATACATGATTTCCTTGACCTCTCCTTCCTTGGATATAAGGTATACATGATCTCTTTAACCTCTCCTTCCTTGTATATAAGGTTTACATGATCTCCTTCAGCTCTCCTTCCTTAGATATAAGGTATACATGATCTCCTTGACCTCTCCTTCCTTAAATATAAGGTATACATGATCTCCTTGACCTCTCCTTCCTTGGATATAAGGTATACATGATCTCTTTAACCTCTCCTTCCTTGGATATAAGGTATACATGATCTCTTTCAGCTCTCCTTCCTTGGATATAAGGTATACATGATCTCCTTCAGCTCTCCTTCCTTGGATATAAGGTATACATGATCTCCTTCAGCTCTCCTTTAGTTTCCCGGTAAAATCGTTCAAGTGTGAGTAAAAGGCGGGAATTACTTTTGGTAACCTGGGCAGCGCTGGGCTCCCAAGCTAGTTTATTAATAAACTTAAACTGAACTAGACAAAAATGTTGCATTCCAGGACTCTGGGAATATTCTAGAAAAGTATTCTTAAACTCCTAAACTCGATAATTCCTTTAGCTCCTAATAAATACTTGAAAAGAATGCTTTCAATTAAAGACAATATTACCGGCTACGTAATTAATAATCCACAAGGATTACCTGCGCTTCGCGTCACTTTTTCTAGAATCAATAAGAGCTTATAATAACAATAATGTTCATTTGTAATTCGTTTTTTTTTCTGTACGTTTCTTACGTTTTTTCAGTCACGCTCAGAGTTAACTCCCCACGCCTCACCGTTGTACATTTGAATATCCGAGCTGGGCCAACCTTTGCAGTCCTACTTTAGACTGTACCGCCAATTTACAATTACTAAAACGGCAGAAGATTGTGTCCCAGACATCCAGGCTGCTTTGAAAAGTTCTTAACTAGATCGACTTTTAAGCGACGCAACTTACAACGCCTTGGCTTTTGTGCGTAGTGTGTACCTAGCTCTCACTTACTCAATTTAATTTGTTAGAGTCCGTGTAAATGTACATGAATGAATAAATGAATAGAAATATAAATGAATAAATTGTAGAATATTGGTTTAAGATTAAGTTTGTAAGAAGTTATTGGAAAAATTCTCATCGATTTATGCGTTAGAGCTTGCTCAACCTCTTGATTCGTGAAGATGAATCAATAACATCATATTTATTTCGCCGATTTTTCTGTCCTACAAGAAAATTTTAAATATCTAATCTTTTTCATCAAATTTTTTTAAAATCCGTTTACCTTCCCTGGGACTGAATTTAATAAATTTAAGCTTCGCTGCTGAACTATACTTACGTACTGCCGGTTCAAATTTGAACCACCACTGATTTAAAGTTAAAAATAAGGGATTTATTTAAATCGGTGAATCTATCTATCTATCTTTTATAATCAATCTATCCATATATATATCTATCTATCTATCTATCTATCTACATATCTATCTATCTATCTATCTATCTATCTATCTATCTATCTATCTATCTATCTATCTATCTATCTATCAATGGGAATGTCCTAGAAAGTCTAATATGTGAAGTATGCCTAAGTAAACAGGGATTTAGAAAAACTATGACTATTTCACAAAATTGCCTATTTTTAGGAAAACTCTCAAAAAAATGTTTTTAGGGAAATGATTATTGAGAAGATCCACCTGGAAAACAGAATAATTGTTTTAAAATTTTCAAGTATATTATGTTTCATTATAAGTCCCTGGCCAGGGGGGGGGGGGAGTTGGTCAAGAGAGGAAAGGGGAAGGGGGAAAATGAGGGGAATGCGGGGATATAGGGACAATGGGGGAACTAGTTTAGGAAATGTGAAAGTAAGAAAATAAATTTTCCTACAAACATCGGGGTTTAGTTACGCTATTGTGTTTTGTATCGTTATTTTTCGTATATGTTTTAGGTTTTTCGGTTTTCAGGAGGTTTAGCAACAACTTACAAGGTCTTGATAATTCACGAATTTTTTTTATCTGTTTGTTTATGTAAATTTATAAACGAAGCGAAATCAATCGATGTGGAAGATATTGTCGTTTTTCTAGGCTTAAATGCGTTTAATTTCATATTTCTTTAATGTAGAAATGCTTATGTGGAGAAACAGCAAATAAAACCAATCAGGTTTTCCAATCATAAATAATAATATCTAATTCATACTTGATCAGACAAAGCTTTCAAGGATACCGTTGTAAACGGGCAGCGCCATTTTTTAAAAGATTTATAAAATTTATAAAATTTATAAATTTTTTTGTAAAATGTCTCTTAAAATCACGCTGACAGTCGATCCCTTTAATTTAATGAAAATTATAATAATTTTTCCCTTTGAAGATTTATTAAACAATTTGCATACAAAATTCTAAAAAACATTTATATCACTGAACTACTGGCAGTTCAAGCAAACAAATTAATAATAAATAAATAATAATATAAGTAAACTCAGGGACAAACAAGTTTTCACTGAAAGGAATTGAGTCTTTGTAACAAACTTAGATTTTCTAATACCTATATTTTTTCCACCTGATGGGATTTATAGTTTGAAATATCTAAGGTCTACGGCATTGGGTTGCAAAGATATAGAGATAAGAAAATCATAGTTTGTGACAAAGACTCAATTCCTTTGAGAGTGAGAGACGTAAAAACAAAATTACACAAATTAGACAATTTTATAAAAATTGAATCTAATATGTTTGAGAACGTGATGAAACCGACTTAAAACAGTCTCAATTAACAATTAAGATTAAAGCATCTGAAAACTGAAAATCAGTAAAATGTAAATTTCAAAGAAATATTATAACATTATTACAGTCACTTTCAAATACATATTTAATTTTTCTCAAAACAGAGTTGAGCGAAATCTGAATAGCTAGATTTTTCTGGAGTTGAAGGTTCAATCAAATTGCGGTAATTGCGGTTCCTTTGCGTAAAAAGCTCCAACAGTGCCAGAAAAACTTTGCTTTTAGTTTCGCAAAAGTTCTGCAAATTGAAGTCCCAAGTCCCTCCTATACAAATATATCGGTCGACCATTACTTGGCATCGGTGGTCTATAATTGTCGCTGAGAAGTTGATTGTTTTCTCCTCTCAGACCTCTGATCGTATTCAGCTGTTCTTCTGAAATATTTATAGGATCCAGAAAAACGTTCCAAAAAACGTTCTCTGTACAGGGAGGAGTGGTCAGGGAGCCCTTATAGTGTAGATGATCTGCCGCCCCTGGAGTAGGCAGTAGACTCCGTAAAGATAAAGAACCTATATCTACATCAAAATTATCTGGTTGTCCTGCCAACTTAATTAATCCATTAATTACAGGGACATAGTTATCATTAGTCTTATCAGAGACCTGGAGAAAGAATCCGGCTACCGCCAACCCGTCCGACTGTTGTGCAGCTGTAGGGAAGTCAGGGTATTTAGTATTCCAATGCACTAGATGTATTTCCGCTGGGAACTCTTGACCTGCTAGTCTATGCTCTGAACCCCGGAAACTATCACTTCCCCAATGAAGATGAAGCTGAGCAAAAGCAAACTTTTCTCCGGAGGGAAGACTCCCATCGAGAATCATTGGAGTGTCGTCGTTCGATCCAAGGTTTAACTTTACTGTAAAGGTATGTCCGTTTTGATTGACTGAAGCATTATTCAGGGTTCTGTATCCAATAGTTTTCATCTCTCCAGGTGCGGTACTAGGCTGAGCTGTGGATAGATTAAGGTCAAGGGGAGATTGAGATAAACCACCACAGGTTGGGTATTGGTCACCCCATACATCAGGACCTGGGTATTATTGATGTTATTATTATTATTGCCTAATAAAATTAAATACAAATTTCAAAAACATTCTTTTAAAATCATTGACTCCAGTTCATCTTTTGAACCAGAGATAAGAGAGATATTGAGATCGATTATCAGCTAAAAATATGCGATATTTTCCACAGCATGTTCTATTGTGTACAAGTACTGTACACGACCAATCAGCAAACATCTGTATTTAGGTATATTAAAGGATCCTTTGGATAAGAAACACAAAATCTTCAAAAAAAAAAGACCGAATTCCTTAATGTTATGTTTCATGTTTAAAATTGGAGTATTTTTTTTAAAGTTGTAAAACTTAACCCCTGAATGGGTATTATATTCAACAAGTGGCCGTGAGATGGCACTCTAAAAACCTATCCTAAAAACGTAGCATGTTGTGCCGGGTCAATTTAGGCCTACGTACCCCACCCTGTGAAGGGAGATAAGCAGTCTGTGTAGTCTGTGGTTTGAACTGTCTGTGGCATCAGATTACAAAATGCAAGCTTTAGAAAAATGTCAGTTCCTTTGTTAATAAGAAAATCTGTAAATGATAGTTTTACGCTTTTAAGTAACTAGTCTTTCAAGGCGCTTCGCGTCCGTCTCTTATTTCAATTGTGAACATTTTCTCTTTGTATATATTGTAAAACAAGAACAAACAAAAAGTTCGCGGAGTTTTAATTTAATAAAAATCGAATTTTGTTTGAGACAAATTTTTGAAATATTGATCATCTTTAAACCTCTCCAGGGGACATGTATAGTCCCAAACAAAATTTGGGCCCGATCGGTTCAGCCGTTTTGAATACAAACAAACAAACAGACAAGCATTAAAACCATTTAGTATATTCTTATACAATAAATGAATACAGTGAAAGAGTTCTTACAATGTCACCTTAAAAGAGATATCTTAAAAATTTTATTTAAAAGTAAAATTTTGTTAAAATAAAAAACACACTTAATTTTTTAAAAAGATTAATTAATAGCCCTGAAATACACAGAACAAATTTTGATTCATTACCCACAGAAATGAGACTAAAAAGACGACATAAAACCCCTTTTTAATATGTTGATCACGCACTTCTGACCCTTTAGTAAAAGTAAATTCAGCCTAAAGTCTGACCGCGTCAACCTTGTTGCACCAGCTAGTCCAATTGAGTGTCTGCTTTATTTACCCAATGTCCGGGCAATACAGTACAAAATCGGAGCGGAATGGTTGACCCGGCTCGGAATTTCAAATGTACTACGGCTGCCCCTGTGATATGAAATATTTTCTTTTTGGATTCAATAGTCTTTTAATGGTTTACAAAATGGTTTTGTAACGAAAGATAGTAGTTTTCCAAAGCAGGAAAGCATGGATGTATGAATAAGAGCTCAATAAATTCCGTACAGTCGTCTCTACAGTCCATCCTTTGTGAGTATTCATTTAGAAAACGGCACTGAAAAAGCTCATTGATAATATTAATATATATGGATGTACTGTTTTAATCGGCCTCACTATAAAAGTGGGTTTTCAAAATCCTCAATATCAAGATGCATAACTTAAAGGCCCATTTATAAAACCGAATTTTCAAAATATTTAAAAGTTTTATTTAAGTATTTGACTTTGGTTCCGCAGCCAAATGATATACCTAGCAAAGCAAAGAAGATAGCTGGAGAAGACATTGGACTAAACTGAATTATAACTTGCAAGATTGGTCAGAATTTCACCTTCTTTTCACGAATTTATAATTATTTAAATACTGTGAAAAGAGGGGAGACAGTATACACTGAAATACAATAAAACAGGGAAGAGAAAAGCCATTATTTTAAACCAGCGAAAAAATATCTTTTTTTTAGAAATTCCGGGAGCTAAGAAAAATTTCTTTTGTTGCCTGAAAATTCTCATATTTGACAATAATTTCAGATTGAAAAAACAAATATTTAAAAATTTACTGTAGAGAGATAAAGAAATAATTTGTAAAATATATAAACCCTGAACCTGCATTCATGACAATGAATTATTCAACATAAATTATTCAATTAATTCTAATAATCTTTAATTGTCGACATCGTTGCATATTTTAACAACGTATTTAACAAATTTTCCTTGTTAAAGGGAGTGTTTGCGAAAAAAATGTTCCTTAATATATTATATCATTTAAAGCTGTAATCGTAATTTAAATTAACCCTCCATGAATAAAAGGGTTTATAATGAGGAAGATTAGTTGTTTTTAAAGCGTAAACAGTGTTTAGCTCTGTTAGTTTCTTCATTGTTTTTGAAGCAAGAAATGCGCGACTTAGGAAGAAAATCTCTGAAAAATTAATCAGTTTTAAAAATAAAATCATTGGTAACTAATTCGAAGTCAAATATTATAGAAACTGTGTCCGAATTTAATGAATTTGAGCCGCGACTTAAATATGCCAAAAACCGGTTTCAATTGAGCGCCGGCTTAAATTTTGAAAAATTTAATACAATTTTAAGTGGAACCAACCATATTTTAGCCGTGGCCTAAACACTTTAATTTCGGCCTCTGAACGTATAGAAACCGCTAGGTATAGCAACAAGACGTATTTTGACGGGAGAATATTTTTTTATATTTTGGAGAAATCACACTTTTCTGTAAAACATTGTATAGCTTATCTTTATCATTATCATTATTCTTTTTATACATACCCTAGACTTTACAACTAACTATTTTATTATGTACTTGTGTACTACTCTGTTTAAGGTCCCCCCAGATTTTATTATGTACTGACAACATAAATGAATGATTACATGATTACATAAAATTGCATGTTATTCTATTTAAAAAAAATATTTTATGAAAATGATATGTACAATTTAATTTTTACTAAAAAAAATCTCAAAAATATTTTTAAAAGATCTCCGATAATGCAAATATGATTGCATATAATTCCGTTTCACCATTTAAATAAAACGATTTTTTGAAGCGGTTTCTATACGTTCGGTTTCTATACGTTCGGTTTCTAAAAAAACGAATTCCTGGTTGATCAGAGTATAACGTTTTGAAAATTAGATGCAACTATAATCCAAAACCCCGAGCCGTAAATAAGGCTTCTCTGAGTCATAGTAAAATTGTTGTTGTAAAATTGTGTTCCGAAATCCGACAGAAAAAAGGTAATTTCCGTGAAAACTCTTAAAATTGGCATTTTAGAATCTATTTATATATCTAGATCCCTATATCTTTGCAACCGGATGATATAATCCTTCAAGATTTGATATTGGATCAAGCTTGATATTGGATCAAGCAGAAATCACAGGTCTACGAAATCAGGTTGCAAAGATATGTGATTCGAAAATCTAATTTTGCTGCAAGAACACTCAGTTCATTTTCATCAACAGCTTTTCTTTTAAGTTTCAACAATGAGAGTTATCTGCCGAAAAAAATTTTGGCCTCATAAATTTGGAAACAACTAAACCGAATCTGACATAATGCTGTGTCATTGCTGGAAAATTTACTGTCAAGTGTTCAGTGAAAAAATGATGATAAATGTGCAGCAAAGTTTAAAATAAAAAAAATGAATAAAGGTTTTTAAAGTTAAAAAATATAACCAGGTCTAATTTACTGTATAGAGGTAACTTAAAGTAGATTGTTATGTCCACAGCTGGAAACTGATTTATGCCGCAGTTTCAAAGACGAAAATTGTCATAATTCAACACATTTTATTATTATTCAAATACATGCTTAAAGGATATTTTGTGAACCCGAACCCTTGAAATTAAGCGTCCCATGAAATTTCGCCTTCAATCCCTTTAAACAATTTTGAACAAAAATAACTGCAATTTATAAGAGTCAATTATATATCCTTGCTTAAAAAAATTAAACGAAGCGATAATTTTGCGTATTCTAATTTATGGGAATTCTGTTTCACCCTATTTATGTCAAATAGTTGCAGTCTCTGAACGCCGTTTTCTACACGGTAATAGTCCAAGCCGACGACAAAAAAGTAGAATAAATTTTATATATTATTTTTCAAAAATTAACTTTTTTTCAACTCAGGACTTTTGACGAAAATGTTTAAAAATTGTTTTTTTTTTGGCAGGTTCCATCATTTACTGAGAGTAAAAAATCCCCCTTTCTGCTGCTAGATCTACCCTAAATACTTTTTCACAAAACTATCACTTTCTTCTACATCAAGATAATTTGAGAATAACCCCCCATGCAGGGTGTCCCAAAAAATATCTGATCTAGAGACCTCTTTGAATGGCCTACTAGGTGCATCGAAAAAATGACTCATTTGCTTCCCAAAGTGTGATTAGGGTTTTCAGCGAAAAGGTGAAATCGATGAACGAAAATTTCCCATTTTTTAGCTTTTTGTTCGTTCACAAAAGAGGCGAAATTTTTTGATTTTTTGCGAAATTTCCTTTAAATCTTTTTCGCGAAAAAATGTTAATTTTTGCTAAATTGAAAAAGCGAAAGTTTCGCGAAAAAAATATCCGTGAAATTAAAAAAAAAACTGCGAAATACGAACGAAAATTTTAGAATTTTTTCGCGGAAATTTTCTTTCGCTGGAAACCATATTGATGCTTGATTGTATTTATAATCTCGGCAAATTTCTCAATTTTAAGGTTACGTAAATCTCAGACCACATTTGGTAAATCCCAATACTCGAAGTTTTTATTTGAGGATAAGCGATTTTGATGAAATGTAAGGATCCCCTATAAACCATAAAAAAAATACAAATACTAAAATGTCTCGAACAATAACTTATCAAAATAAAAATAGACGAAAACATTTCATCGATATCCAAATTTGATGGAAAAAACTTATCGCAGAATTTGTAATATCGTATTTTTAACAGTTAGGAAAATACCATATTTATATAGTTCTTTTTGTCAATATACGACGTTTTTTATTTTTGTTTAAACAGATATTCATAGATCAAGAAAGATAGAAAGATAGAGATAGAAACAGTTAGATAGATAGATAAATTAACTTGATAAATTTGCAGGATTAAAGATGGTGGATAGAAACAGTTAGATAAATAGATAAATTTACAGAAAGATAGATGGAGGATTGTAGAAACAGTTAGATAAATAGATAAATTTACAGGAAGATAGATGGAGGATAGAAACAGTTAGATAAATAGATAAATTTACAGAAAGATAGCTGGAGGATAGGAACAGTTAGATAAATAGATAAATTTACAGGAAGATAGATGGAGGATTATAGAAACAGTTAGATAGATAGATAAATTTACAGGAAGATAGATGGAGGATAGAAACAGTTAGATAAATAGATAAACTTACAGGCAGATATGGATGGATAGATAGATAGAAAAACATATGCAGACAAACTTAGGCTGAGTTGCCGTTTTGACTTTTTCCATCTTCTGTCTATTATTTGTGTATTGACGCCCTATTGTTAATGTTACATCGTCTATACGCAACATTCCCCCTACTGAACTTCTGACCTACTAACTTTCCGACCTACTGCAATATCGGACCTACGCCAGCTGTTTATTATTGTATTATTTGAGTGTTAGC